AGTGGCATTCTGTGTCATAACATAGCTGATTAATGTAGGTGATTGCTGGGAGACCAACCTATCTTGCATTATGGCTAGGTGTCCAGAGTAGTAAATCACTCACAAGTTATTATTTTGCTCGCTAACAGTTTCCTGCAAAGTGTATTCTGCATTTGCCTAAGATTGTAGAAATATCAGGGTTGGGTCCATAGAGCTGTGATTTAATTGGGTATTGTCTCCAAAAGATGTTAAGTATAGCACTCAACATCTGAGTGTCAGTTCCATCAAGCTTAGACTCTAGACTTTTAGGTAATGTCCAAACATTGGCACCATACATTAAAACTGCTTCTACAGTGCCTCAAAAGAATCTCCGTTTGAAGTTGTCTGGTAGAACAGATTTCCAGATTATATCCATTTTATTCAAGGTGGCCCAGGCTTTAGCTGTAGCAAGATTTGGCATTTAAAAATCTAGCAATTTCAACTTTATTTTTATTATTCAAAAATAGTTTTGTACAGAATAAAAATTCAAACACTGGAAATGTATTCCCATTTAATTCTGAAAAATTATACAACATCAATATCTTCTATTTTCTCCACATGTTCTTACTATAACTTTATCCATAACAGTGTTTAATAACTCAGTTTGCAGACCTTGAATTTCTGTACAGATGTTATCCTTGAGTTGCTGAATTGTTTGCAGTTGATTGATGTATAGACCTTCCTTAAAGTATCCCCTTGCATCAAAGAAAATAATCAGAAAATATCAGATCAGAAGAAAGCTCCAATTCCATTTGGGCTTGTTATATTCACTTACACACAAATACTCTTGGGAAAGGTATGAATCGTCGAGAAAATCTCAACTAAAAAAAAAAAGGTCCAGAGATGATGCAGATGAGGAAAGGAGCAAATGTACTTATGTTAAGTTGCAAAAAAAATATTTCCTTCTGTGATGTAGCTTAATCATCATCATACTTATTATAAAACCCAGGTTGTGTGTGTGTGAGTGTGTGTTCGTTTATATATTGGATCAGATTTCCTACATTTTTCAACCGATTTCAACAAAACTTCACAGGACTACATAAAATTACCTTGCGGTGGTTTTGACAGCACCAAAAATTGGAAAAACACAATTGTTTTTGCACAAAATCAATTTGAAAACACGATTAAGAGAATGAAAGGGGGACAACTCATATCGAGTTATACTTATTATAAAACCCAGGTTTGTTTGTTTGTGTGTGTGTGTGTGTTCGTTTATATATGGGATCGGTTTCCTACATTTTTCAACCGATTTCAACAAAACTTCACTTTTTTTTTTTTTGGCAGGTAGTGTTTCTTATTGTCTTGCACACTTTTTTTTTTTATTTTACATTCAGAATGCTTTAAAAAATTCCATTTACAAGACTATTGTTTATAATAAAATTATATTCAATCAGTAGACTCATAACGATTGAAAACAATGTTTTTGTTTGAGTTTGACCAATTCATAAAAAAAAACCCAAAAAAACAAAACAAAACAAAAAAAACTAATTAAGACATGCTTGTCTGTCAACCTTAAACAATAATCTTTGTCAATTTTATTTTTCAGTCTTTATGATGGTCGATACTTGATCTATCTCTTACTGTTACATCCCCGGGCAACTCTGGGCTCTACTGCTAGTTGTCTGATAACTTGCATTGGGCTACAAAAATAGTGAAGAAAAGGAGGAAAAAAATTTCCTTTATAACCACTTCAGGGATCATATGGTAAAATGTCACAAGACCCTTTAACTATAAAAAAAATTAGTAAAAAGGTAACAGTTTTTAGTCAACAAGAATCAACAATCCAGGTAAGTACATTACACCTGTCTGAACCATCAATTTCTCCACAGAATCCACCTCTTCTCCTCCCAACTATGGGTTAATTAGTTGGACTAGTATCAGTAAATCATTATTATCTCCATGAAATTCTTACAATTTAAAAATATTTTCTGGATTTAAATAACCAGCAAAAGTTTGTAAACCTAAAAAAGAAAAAAAAACAAATAAAGGAAATGCAGAACCTACAACAAAAACAATGCAAAATAAAAACTTTATATTTTAGCCATAAAATAAGAAATCACATTTTGTCATTTTCCTCTTCTTTTTAAATCAGTTTTATTTCTATACTCATGAAAAAAAAAGAAAAGACTTTTGAAAAGAAAAGGAAAAAAAATAATTTATAAAAAGGAAAGAATAGGAAATTAAAAAAAAAGTATTTTTTAAATTAATATTTTTTTAACATGTATCAATGTCTAAATGCTTCAAATGGTTATACTGTGGACATTGAAAGGTAAAAGGCTTTGTGCAAAAGCTGAAAATTGAATCTAATTTAACTGGTTCTAAATAAGGTAACAAGATAATTCAGATAAGAAAGATAGTTTGTTCACACTTCATTTAAAGATAACAATCTTCAGAAGAGTGCTGTGTAAACAATTTATTTATTTTTTTACTTAGTACAGATCTTGAGAAAAATGAGGTGTTTTCTTGGTGATGAGTCAATGTCTATTGTATTGAAATGTTAGTAGCCAAAATGACGATTCTTTGATGAAAACTGTTCTTAAAAAATAACACATTATTTTTATTGCATTCACTTTGCACTGATACTGTAGAGAAAAGCACAACTCAATTGCTTCTCTCTCCCAGCTGTGGGTTAAATAGCAGATTAGACTGAGTCCTCTAGCCTTGGATGGCAACTCACCTAGTAGAAGGACAATGGAAAAAAAATCAACACACTTATCTTTCTTGATAATTCATCTCAGTTCACAGGTAATAAATAAAAAAATTGAGATCCATGATCGTTTATATCCTGGCATTTGCAATTCATGAATAATAAAGAAAAGGAATTTGTGGAGAGCCATGACTGCCTACATCCTGAAGGGACATGGCATTGGCAATTCACAGATAATAAAGAAAAGGAATTTGTGGAAAGCCATGATCACTTATATCCTGAAGGGACATAGTATTAAAAAAAATGACAAAAAAACAAAATAATAAAAATAACAATACAAATATTTCTTAATAGTAGTTCCATACCTAATAATTTAAAAATGTTAATGTGTTATGTGTGTGTGTGTGTGTGTGTGTGTGTGTGTATGTGTGCGTATGTTTGCATACCAGATAACAGAAACCACATCACTTGAGGACTTTCAACAGCAGCAACACCTAAAATGGATAGCACATGTGACTTGAAGAGAGAATAATGACATAATCAAAATTCTTACATTCTACACTACCCCAAAGAAAAGGAAGGAAGCCACCATTAATACAGTAAAAGCCAATAACAGTTACAGCACATCAGTTAATTATATGCCATGTGTGATACATGCTTAGGCGATCATGTATCCTTTGATACATGACTGACATGGCAGATTTTTTCCCACAATAGGTTGCCATTTCTTTCTGTGGTAGACCAGTTGCCATCCAAGGCTATAGAATCCGGTCTGTTCTGCTATTTACCCATAGCTGAGGGGAGAAGAAGAGAATTCATACCTTTCCCAAGAGTATTAGCATGTGAGTGAATGTAATGGATTCAACTGAAATTTGAACTCAGCTCTCCGATTCCTCAATCCAAGCCGCTAACCATTACTCCACCGTTTTCTGAAAAATTGTTTTAAGAGAAAGATTTTATAAATTTCAACCAATAGCAACACTGGCTGCTTGATCAATGAATGTCAAATATTTCCTTATAAGGAAATGGCTATATACATATATTTTTTCTAATGAATTTTATTGATAATCTAACATTATTTCATATTACTTTTAACTTTAACATTTTAGCCAATACACGTGTCTGAGTATACATTCCCTGTTTTATTTTATTTAAAGTAAACAGTGTAAATTTATGTCTACTAGCTTGTGTATTCAAGAGTCTTAAAGGGTTTGTACTTGCGTCCTCCTGTTAGTAGGGGAAATCACTGTATTGCTCAGTGTGCTTTAGTCCACTAAGCCACAGAAAGTTTCCACAGGTCAGCAGCTATAAGGCACTTAACTTGCGTCATCATGGGAACGTAAATTTGAATCCTGCCAATGCACAGACGTACACGTTGACTTAAATTTACACTGCTGACCAAATAAATAAGATAAAATTAAAAAAAGAAGTGTCTACTCAGGAACTTGCATCTACTAAAAAAACCAAGAAGCATGCGCGCGTGTAATTCAATTTTTAAAATTACAATCTTAACTAATTATTAAATTTTCCGATGACTTATATCTTCATAAAAATTTAAAGTTTTCGTATCCAAACTGAGATTTAAAATCAAATTTAATTAAAAAAGAAACCGAACGTGGGTATGTTGTTTTTTTTTTAAATTAAAAAAGAATCTTTGAGTTTTTAGATTTACTACTTACAAAATTCTCTTTTCTTTCATAAATAAATTTACTCATAAATGAATAATTACTGAACATTAAACACCATAATTAACTATTTTTTGGTATATTTAAAAAAATATATCAACGTGTTGTAGTTCACCTTTCTATTCGCACATAAACATTTTTTTTTTTTTTTTAAGCATAAACGGCTCTTTAAAAATAAAAATCCCTGGTTCTATATTCGACACAAATAATTTTTATTATCAGAATTTTCTGCAATAATCAGTCGAATAATGGTACAAATTAAATTATTTTGAGTATTTTTTTTTTATTATCGACACATGTTACCCTTTATTTTCAAAAATGTGTGGCAATGCATTGCTGCTGCTAAAGAATGATACGTTCGTTGACTCCTCAATCCGGGTTTGTCGTGTTACTTCGCCTACTTTGATTTTTGGGTAGCGGCTGTAAAGTCCAACTTAGAGATCTGTTAATGAGGTCACAGGTCAAACAACTGTTCAAAAACATGGTTAGTTTGGGTTTGGTGTCGTGTGCCAAATTTGAAGGCTAACTAAAGCCTTCATTAAACCACAGCCACTAACACACAAAACTAAAGCACTGTATTTTACGGAAAACAAAAAAGAGCAAAACGTCTATTTAACTTTAGAGAAGAAAAAGTTAAGATGACGCATGTTATGAATGGCACAGTATCATCGACCAAGTACAGTATTCAGACAGAGTAAGTATTTTTTTTGTTTTGTCTTATTACAATTTTTCATTATTAATGACTATATGAATATCCAAATTATAAAAGTATAAAATTACATAAGCACTTGCTTTTGTTTTTGCGAGTGGCACGGCACGTTAAGTTAGAAGTTATGCAATTGATACACAACAGAAATGCAGTCTCGTCTATTTCAATGTCAATAGTAGATAAATGTAGTAATAAAAGATTAAAAAAATCTTTCTGAAAGTATCTTCAAAATTTATTTGCAGCAAGTAATCATAAAAATAAACAAATTTTCAAGAAAAACGTGTCACGAGTAAAGAAAGTGTAAAAGATTTCATTCATTTTCTCGTGTTATTTTTTGTTTACTTATATTTTCTTGAAACTGAAAATATTGAAAAAGCAATAGTAACGTAAGTTACAAACTAGCAAACGATTTTAAGTTTATTAGAAATTAAACTAGAATAATGAAAATAAACCCCCTAAATTTTACTTTCTTATTTTTCGTTTATTGCTACATTGGACATTCGTACATAATGAAAAACAATCCTTAATCATTTCATTATAAAGTGCTGCAGATTGTTTATTTCGTAACAATAAGCAAAGGTTTTTTTTGTTCCATTTAATCTAAAATATAAATGTTTTGTTTTTAATTTTTCTTGAAGTAATTAAATGCTGTGCCAGACTGAATAATGTCATTGTTTAATTCTAATTGTTGTCAAAGAAATTTAAAGATAAAGAAAGATTGAAGGAGACAATCGACCCTCTGGTCCATTGGCTCCGAGAAACGAATCCCTTTCAAAGTGTATTAAAAATAAAGTAGTAAAATAACTCGGTTTACGTCTTTTATTAATTGTTCCCTTTATTACATTCATTTCACTTGACTTTTTGTGTAAAAATTGCTTCCATAACCTTTCAAAAACACTTTAAAGGTCTGAGAAAATAGAGAATGTTTTTAGTTACACATGCATGTCAAACTTATGAACTAAATATCCATTTATTTATTAACTAACGGCTACCCACTCACTTATGTTATCCTGGGCGACTACAATACAAATCTGCTATCAAATTTGATAGCAGATTATTGTTATTACGTACCCTACAAAACCTAAGTTTTAAATCAGAAGTTGTTTAATAATGAAAATGTACTTAATCTCGTATTTTAATATAAACATTAAGAAGTTAATCAATCCTTTAGTTTAAAACTTAAGCGGAGCACAGCACTCGCACCTTCGTTTATTTATTTTTAAAAATGTAATTTTCAATTATTTAATTAAATTTAGTACTCGCTATTCGGTATCCTTTTGGAATATTTTTGTTCCGTTATTTCTTTCAGTTTAATTTAAATAGATAAAAAATTAAAATTATTGAATTATACCATTTTTTTTTTCAAGCTGATAATTGTTTTATTCAATTATTCCCACTCCCAACAACCTTTTTTGTTTCTTTTTTTTAAATTCTTGGCCGAATCACCCATAATGATGCACATCCATGACGTTTATATTAAAAAAACAAAACAAAAACAGAACGAAACATTATTTTATTTCCAATTTGTATGAAAAATTGTGCATAATTTGAATTTTCAATTAAATTCTGATGTGTCAGTTGAATAATGAATCTGAATATGGAAAATATTGCAGATGCCGCGTGAATAAACTAGAGAGAAAGAGTTTTTATTCTTTAATCGAATTCGCCATAAATTCCAACATAAAACCGAAAATAGAAAATTAAATCAATATTAGCAACTGAATTGCAGTGCAAAAAAAAAAAAGTCAGTAAATTCTTTGTCTGAGTGAAATCTAAAAAAGAAATATTTATTTAAAAAAGTAAAAGTAAAACTGTTTACTACTGTTTACTGTTTACCTTTTAGTTTCTGTTTTATTCCTTCTGGTCTTTACTTTAAAAGTTAAAATGGTTTTCGTTGCGTTAGAGAAAAATCAATCTTGTTCTGAAGCTTTTTTTTTTTTTTTTAATTATTCAAAAGATGTACATTTTAAATTTCTGAAAGTTTTTCATAAAGCGTGATAATCTTCATTGCCTCAAATAAAAAATAAATAAATAAAAAAAACGGAGATTTTTTTTTTTTTTTTTTTTTATGAGAACGAAAAACATCTCGTGAGTTTAGGGTAGGGAACTTGTTTTGTGCACTAAAAATTAGTCAATACCACGAGTCGTCGGAACTCTCTTTATTTTATTATCAATATGATTGATAACAAAAGTTTGAGAAAATCTATTTTCACACGGTACTTTGATAAAATAGAGGATTTATTTCTAAGTATGTTGTTTTAATTAAAAATAATTTTAAATTAAAACGATATCAAAGTTTTATTTATTTACAAAAATTAAAAATAGCAATATGAATTTGTTGAACTAAGTAGTGTAAACAAAACTTAGTGACGGAGATTTTTCGCATATCCAAGTACAATTATACTACGATTATTCATTCTTAATTTAATTGAACTTGAGTCAAATAATTTTAATAATTTAATTCGTAAAAAAAAATCTACTTATTTTCATTTTGGGAACATGTTTGTGCCGACTTGCCTGCATCTCTCTCTCTCTCACATCGATTTTATTTTTAACTTTTTTTGTAACTCAAAATATAGGAATTAAAGATATTTAAAATATAATGGAAAAATTTACACCTTCCTAACTATTATTTTCTCTGTTAATAATGTCTACACAAGCATTTAAGAGAAAATTGACTAAAAAAAAAAAGTCACTAAATTTGCCCCCCCCCCAATCACTCCCCGAGGAATAAGAAGAAGAGGTTTTCCCAATGAGTTAAGAGATTCCTGTGCGGTCTTTCACCATTTGTAATCTAGATTTACTTTGACTTAACCTTCACAATATAGTGACATAGTCCAATTCAAGTGAGTCAGGGTTTGTTATAAATATAACGCGAACTCTGATCTTCGGAGTGAATTGACCTCTGGCACAAGTACCACGAACATAAATAAAGTTATTCCAGTCTTTTGTTTTCTACCTTGAAACCTATTTCATTTTCAAAAAAAAAAAAAAAAAACCCTTTCCATAACTAAAGCAAGAAGAGTCCACGAACACAAATATTTTTAGAACTAAATGACTGATGATGATAACATTTAACAATAGTGATTTTAAAAACTCTCTCTCATCTTTTATTTTCAGGAACTTGTAAAAATCTAATAAGTAAAGAAACTTTTTTTTAAACTGCAGTGTACTAACATTTGTATATTTTCATTCATACAATTTAAAAAATATTAATTATGGTAATAATTGACTGATTTACTTTTTTTTTACGTATTTGTTATTTACTTTTAAATAAAATATTTTATTTGAAATAATAACCATCTTATTCTTATTTTTTTTAATTACACATATCTTAGATCAAATTTCCGTCACCATTGATAATTTTGGATGCTAAACTTTCAAAAAAATCGAGCTTTGTATTGTAATTTTATTGTAATGGTTGTTTTATTTTCTAAGTAAAAATATAGTTTATAAAATAGTTGTCTGCAAACTTAATTTTGATACCTTGTTAACTAACATGTGTCGTGTATTATCAGAAAAAAAAAAAAAAAAAACACCTGCTCGTTTTCCCACGGAATTGCAGTCGTTTCATTTTGTTTTTTTTAATTATTGACAAATTCTGGAAGAGTTACGAACTTTTTTTATGCAAATAATTTACAGTCAACTTATAAAATATTTTACAAAATTTTCGGAAACTAAGCAATTAATTTTAGGCTTTTTAAAATAAAACCTTTAAAAAAGTAAACACTAAAAACAGTAATGTTGGCACAACTTAAGACTTAAGTCCACTCGCAAAATAAGAGTTTTTTTGTTTTTTTTTAATTTTTGTACATTAGCATTCTACATACTTTCGCTCTAACTCCGTGACGCTTCTTAATCATTTTTCTTGTTCATAATATCGATACTGAGTAAATTCGATCCCTAACTTAGTTTTACTTTTTTTTTTTTTTTTTTTTTTTTTTTTTTACACTACAAAATTATTGGACTTCTCTGTCATAAAATTTGGAAGTCTGCGCATGTTGTTAATTTTCTGAAGTTTTAAAACTCTTTAAAAAAAACTTTAAAAAATTTTTCGCATGGTATTTTTTCTCTGGAATCCCATGCACAAAAACATCAAGCTTAAAAATAACAATTTGAAGAATAAACAAAAAAACTGATCCATTTTTTTATTTTTACTTGAGTTATTAATTTATGTAAATTTTTGTTCTTTAAAAATGTATCCCTTTGTTCTTTATTTTTTTAAAGGAAATCTTCCCATCCCCCGATAAAACTAAAAGTATATTTTTGTACGCAAAAAAAAAAAAAAAAATTTAAGTCCAATAAATTTTTTGGGATCGATTTGATACACTATGAAAAACAAAAAAAAAAAACAAGACTCCCCCACCTTATAAATCGATAAGAGATTCAATATTTTTCAATTCTGACAATTGCCGCGGCCTAAGGAAATGTCCAAAATGCTAATGTACGAAAGTTTTTCTCAAAAAAAAACAAAAAAAAAAAACATTCCCACTCCCGGTTTTTTTTACAACAACAGTAAGTAGTGTCAAAAAATGTTAACCAAGTTAAATTTTTAATTACTGGAAAATCCCCACAAACTGACTTTCTAATAATATATGGCAATGGTTTATATATCGTCCGGTTCACACTCCTCCCCGGTTTTTTGAACAGGAGTAGAATTTTTTTTATCCCCCTCCTTTCTTTTTTTCCTGTTTAGGATTGGGTTTCCGGTTCCTTCTAAAGTCTTTTCAGTCTTTTTTTTTACTCCCAGTAATCCCTTGCACCTTAGTGGAATTATTGCCTTGCTGTGGTGACTTGATTTGGAAAAAAAAAAAAAAAAAAAAAAAATATTAGGGCAGGCTGAAAAGTACTTGGTCCTAATTACTTCCTAAAATAATTTTTTTAATTTTTCATACTGTTTATTCACCTCACACAAGGCCCAAGAGCCTACTCAAGGCAGAGGTTTACTGAGTAAGATTGCTGTGAGGAAGGAGGAAATACAAATGCATATTATGAGGACCTGTAGGATACATATTGGTTAACCTTGGACTTAGAGAACAAGAGCCTAGTTGTCAGGGAAGCATCCTTTCAGAAGTTTGTTCCAGGAAGTATCAGTTTTGGGGACCGACTCAAGTAGGACATACTATCAAAGGAACACTAAGAGAAAATGGATGGTTTGCCACTGTGAACATGCCATGCTGGATTCTAATTGTGAATGTTTGATCTGGTGAAACTAAAGAATGTAATTCGTCCAAACATCTGCCATAGTAATAACGATAGTAGTTAGAGGCTAGTAACATTTTAGTCTGTGGAATAAGGGTTGCAGGGTAGAGAATAATGGGCTTTGTATGTGCTTTGGAACTCTGTTGAGGATGGTGAGTGAGAATTGGGTAGCACCAGCCCAGATATGGCAGCAATACACCATTCTTGGTCTGGTATCACGCTTGCAATGATGGAGCATGGCAATAGGATTTCGGTATTTTCTGGAGCAATACCAGAAACCAACCATTCTTCCAGCGTCTTTTGCGATGGCAAGAATATACACATTCCATTTGAGGTCAGGAGTGAGCTTTATGCCCAGTAGGTTTTCAAGGCCTCTTTGAGGGTATGATCACTTATCTGGAATTGTGCAGGTTTATGGTCTGCTTGGTGGTCATCTTATGTGAGTAGAGGTAAGTAGCCCTATATCATAAGCAATGTAAAAAAAAAAAAAAAAGTCTTTGTTTATTTAAAAAAACAAAACAAATATACGTATTTTGTGTTTTTTTTTTTTTTTGTTTTTTTTTTTTTTTTAATCTTCAGAAATTTAAATGTAATGTTAGTCATTATCTTCTGTCATAATTTGTGTTCTTTTATTGTTCTCTTTGTTTTCTTTTTCTTATATTCTCTCACACTCAGTAACTCCTTTGTGTCTTGGTGACTTTATTTCCTTGTTTGGAATGAAGATTTTTTTTTGAAAAAAATTATTTTCCTGAAAGTTTGGATGCAAACTAATTTGTCTCCATAAGTATAAATGAAAATGTTTTTAAAGACTGTTAAAGAATTTTTTTTCATCTTCATTTTCTTTCTCTATTCTCATTTACAGGTCTTCAAGCAGTGATGACCCAAACAGTGAGTACATTCTAAAGACTGTTTGCCAAAAAATTATGTTTCTATTGATCATTTGCCATGTAGAAAGATGCACTGTATGGTGGTCTGAAAAATGGTTTATAGCAGGAAATGATTTTAGTATACTTATTTTTATTTTATTTTTTTTTCTGTAACTATGATAAATATCAAATCATACGTCTCATATTTATGAGAAACTGCAGAAAGCAAAATTGCCAAGCTGAGTTAAAATTTTGATTGATTCTATTTTGTATTCACTTTACAAAGAACGGATAACTGGTGGAAAAGAATCCAACAGACTAGGCCAGAATTTGAACTCTTCTTGCGGGTTTCATTTTCCTGCACAACTTATTTTATTTTTTACTTCTAATTTTAAATATCAATTAAAAAATCTAATCAAGTTTTTGTAATTAGTTATATTCTCTTAAAAGATTATATATTTTGAAGAATATGTATTGTACATACACAATGCAAATTCTATCATTTGGCATAACATATTTCAGCAAAAAGGCCTTTCAGAACAACAAAAATAAGTGGAGTATCAAAAAGATTGTTTTTCTTATGAAGCTGCTTTTATTTTAACTATTTCTTGGCAATTTTTATTGTTTTAAAAAGTGATGATTAGAATTTTAATAAAGATTAAGCATATGAGGAAAGTGAATTTATACTTTTTTCTTGAATTTACAACAAAAATATTGAACACTAATTATTTTATAATTACATTCTAAAAACTAATACAATTGTATTTAGACTAATGCAATATATTTATCATTTACTAATTTATAGAGAAAAAAATGTGAAAACAATTTTTTTATTCATAAATTTTAAAAAATTTACTAAATTGTTAAAATATATGAACCAACTATAAGGAAATCCTTACTTACTATTTTAATAAAGATTGGATCAATCGGCAATTAGCCGATGTTTTGCCAGCCATTCCAATAATAGTGTAAATAAACACTCTAATAAATAAATAGTGTTTTATTATTTTTGTTGTCAATTCTCAAGAACAGAGAAAATGTATTAAATTTATTAAAATTTTAATCATTGTTTTTTTTTAATTTTTTTTTTTTAAACAATAAACATTGCCAAAGTAGTTAAAATAAGTGTCATGGTGGGGGGACTTCACTCTGTACAAGGCCCAGGAGCCACTCAAGGTAGAGGGTTATAGAATAAGTGGTACAGTTTATGCAATGTAAGGAAGACAAGAGTTAACCCAAGACTTGAACAGGTTAAGATTGTAGGGATCTGTGTAAACATCTTCTTGGTAGTTGGTTCCACAAAACAAGAAGCTGCATTATTTGGGCTGTTATCCTCATCTTCGCAACGTTTCAGTCACTGTATGCTCCAGCCACCTTCGTTTGATTGGAATTTCAAACCAAATCCTTTATTCATTCACCGGCGTATATTGTTCTAGTTCCATGTACCATGTCTCTTCCAGATGTCCGTTATTTCCCTTTAACTCTAACTTTTTTGGTTCACCACTGCTGTAGCCTGGTATTGAACTCCTAACTCTTTGGGTCTAGTCACTGGATGCAACCAATGTCTATCCACTGGGCCATGTGTTCCATTTGATAAAGGTGGATAAAATAAAAGGTTCAGTTCGAAATTCCAGTCACCTGAAGAAGGCCAGAGCATACAATGGCTGAAACCTTGTGAATATGGTATTGAAGATGAGGCTAACAGTCTGAATAATGTAAATAATCATAATACCTCATCTCAGAGATATAGACAGGTAACTAGTTTAGTTTTCGAGGCATTGAATGTTACCAGCCAGTTTTTCTGCCACTGAGATGTTAGTTAGATCAGAGAAATCAGCTGCTAATCTTTGGTCATGTAAAGTTTTGGCGGTGCACCCATATACTGGTCTATCATCAGCATAGATATTCATAAATGATCAGAGTATACTCTTAGGTAGTTCATTTATGTAAAGGAAAAAGATGATTGATCTGAGAAGCAACCCCCTGAGGAATACTTGTATTGACTGCTAGGGCCCCAGAAGACTGGCCATTAATAACTACTTTCAGGGACTTAACTGTTAGGTAGGACTTTATAATTGAAAAGACTCTTCCAGTGATTCCATAGCTTATCAAAGACCTTTGAACTATCTAATGCTATAGTCCTTGAAATGTATTTGTTGTCTAGTGCCTTCCTGATTCTGTGAGTAATGATAGTTAGGTCATCAGTAGTGAATCTGGCTGGTCAAAACCTGTACTGCTTGTTGTTCAAGAGGTTGTTCCTATTTAGGTGGTCAAACAACCTTCTTGTTGATTATAGCCTCAAAAAACTTGTGGAGGAGTCTGATGGGTCTATATGGAGAGGCGGATGAGCACTCACCTGCATTACTAAATACTGAACATACCTTCCACAGACTTGGGAAGGATTTCTCTTTCAAGCAGCAGTTAAATAATTTTTCTAAGATTGGAGATAGTTCCGGGTTGGTATTCTTAAGGACAACTACTGGGATTTTGCCTGGGCCAGTGACTTCCTTTGGGTCAAGATTTTTGATAAGTCTTGAGACTATAAAAAAAAATCTCAGTAATATATAATATTACTGAGATTGTGCTCAGTGAGATGGGGTGGAAAGTCAGGAAGGTGATGGCTTTTGTTGTCCAATGTTAGAAGCAAAGATGTTTGCCCACATTTCTTTGACCAACAATTTTGTTTTTTTAACAACACATTGACTGTCAAAGGTGAATTATAAAATCTAATTTCAAACATCAACCTTATAATGACCAACTTGGGCAATAAAAAATTTTGAGTTTATTTATAGCTTTGACCAAAGTTTTAACATTGTTTTCACACTGAATGTATCATTGTGGATAAATTTGTTGGTACCTGCAGATGAAAATATATCAAAAAATGCCAAGCACAAGCCAACTCATAGTTGGCATCATAATAAAAACTACCAACCAGGAGTTATTTCATGGTTGGTAGTCAATGTATTAACTAAAGCTGTTTAGTATAACTAAGGTGAAGGAGCAGAAAAGCAACTTATTTTCAATTGCAAAGACACTTTTATGAAAAAAATATATAAAATCACGATTGGTAAAGCTTCTATAATTGAACAGACAGTGGGATAGGCTTCTGGGTACTGCCACTTAGCTTTGCCATTTTTGCCAAGAATTCGTTAGAGAGCGCTATCACGTAAGTATAAAAAAGGCGACATGTTTTGTCCTTCTCTCTTTTCTCTTTAGCTTACTGTAGTGACAACATCCAAAGGACCTTGTTCCTGGGCATTGGGATATCTTTGAACCATAGTGACTGAACTTTATTTTCACACACCAGTACATCAGATGTGCATATGTACCTAATATGTACAGTACCTAACTTAGTTTTCTTTCTTTTACATTCATTCTTGTGTATTTTCTCTCTTGTTACTCGAGTATATAAAAGCAAAAATATAAAATATCACATTAACATTCATTCCATTTCCTCATACCCATCATTCATATGTATGAAATAATGTTGCCACTGCTTTTAGTCTTATCATGATATAAGGTGGGAGGAGGGATTTAGCCTTACTTGAATTTTCAAAAGGCAAATGTTGTTTAAAATTAATCAAAAAAAAAAAATAGTTGATTTATCCACAACCTAATTTTAGTATTGATTTTGAGTCAAGAGATGGACTCTGTCAGTCTATTTTGCCCACGCCTTGCCACTGCTGCTGCAGCACATGTGGTATCCCTATGGCTCTAATGGGTTACGGGAGTTGTGACTTAAAACAAATTTGAACAAAGAAAATTTGTAGGGGCATTATTAATAAATAAAAATATAAAATAATATCATCATAGATAAAATAAAACAAATAACATTAAAACTTTGTTTAAAATAAATGAAACCAAAATAATGAAAGATTTCCCAGCATGCAACTGAAAATGGGTACTTTGTGTCAAAAACGCCAAACTCTCTCTCTCTCTCTCTTCACTAACAACCCTTAAGGGGTCAAGACTTCTATCTCCGCTCCTCAGCACATTGAAGTGACTTTCTTCCTCTATTAAATGCAACCTTAGAATGCATAACTAACATATGCACACACACACACACAGTACACAGAAATAAATAAAATTATATAATTTTAATTTTTAACTTAACACGCTTTTAATGTTATTTTCTTGTCTGTTTTATTCCTGTGAACCCAATGTTATCTCTGCTGGTATGATGTGAGTGACCCCACAAATTTAACAAGTTTGAAATTATTGCAATATTTCTCTCAAGATTCTTTAAGAATATTTCTTGCATACCTTTTTACCATTAACATTTTTTTTTCTCCTTAAGTGAAAGATTTTTTTTTTTTTTTTCATTCTTAATCAGCGTTTGAGTGTTTAACTGTTTTTCTTTTTATCGAATTTTCTTAATTTGTTGTTTGCTATTTTATTTTTAAAAGATATTTAAAATACAGGGATTTAGACCATACAAATTTGGGTTTAATTTCGGAGCTGATTAGGTTCTCTTGTCTAGAGTTACGTTCCATCAGTTTATCCTTTCCAAAACCAGCCACTTTTGCTATGGGTTCAGTATATGTGGTGACCCCATGACTCTAATGGGTTGTGGAACTTGGTATGTGTTAAGGTCAACAATTCTAGCATCATTTTGTTTTCTTTATTTTTAACTAGGAAGATAGTGCTTTATTATTCGCTGACATCTTCAGCATAAATTCTATTTTCTGTTTTTGATTCCTGGAATTAAAAAAAAAACAAAATCAAACACTAATATAAACATTATCTTGTATTTTACTCTATAAAACATAATTTTCTAAATATATCAGTCATGTGATCTTTCTCCTCTTCGTAATGAGATATTCTGTTGCTGTAACAGGAGGCATCACTCAGTGCCAATATGTAAACATGTCTCTGTTACCGTAATAAAGAAATATTTCTAGTAAGTAGGAGGACCAAACATGTGAGCAACAATGAGGTCTTAGAGAGGTTACAAACAAGTAGAAGGCTTATACTTAACATCAGAAAGAGTCAGCTGAAGTTTCTGGGACATATAATGAGGAAGGAGGGCCTGGAGAATCTGATACTCATGGGTCAAATAGAGGGAAAGAGAGATAAGGGAAACCAGCGGCTGACATACCTGACGAGCTTGAACATGTGGATGACAGAACATGGTCTGGGGGAGGAAGCGGCTTGCTGAGAGCAGCAAGGGATAGAGGGAGGTGGAGAGCCATGATGTCCTGAAAGGACATGGCCCATAAATAGAAAAACAAGTAGAATGAAGATAAAAGGCTGCTGATATATCCTCTTTTATTTCTCTAGTTTTATGTTAGCTTTCTCTAGCTATTTTTACTTTTTAATTTGATTTGAAAAGCATTTTATTTTCTGACAATAGATTTAATAGTATGGATAAAGATTCTAGATTACTCATACAAAAAATATAACCAATGCAATTGCAAAATTTCTTCAGTATGTCCAAATGTAATACAAGGTTAGTTTAAAGTGAGTAATGGCAATACCATAGAAAAATTGTCAAAGCCCTCTTAGCACTTCCTCTTTTGGGGATGCCTCAGTTGACAGGCAATAAACCCAGCTCCTTCTTGGGGAAAATTACTTCAGTATGGCTTTTTTATTTTTTATAATGGTATAGACACTATACCATTATAATAAAAATAAAATATATGTCTAGACCATTATAAAAAAAAATATGACCCACATTGTTTTTGGTGGTGGGGAGGAAGGAGTAATTATGGGTGGAGTAATTTGACTCAAAGTCAAGAAAATTTATACTAATGTGTTTTTTCTAAAGGATTACTAAATATCAATTGTAAGGACAAAATTATCATAATTTTATTACATTAAATCTTATACAAATACAGAAACCTAATTTTCTCCTTAGCTTCCTCTTGCAAATATATTACATTTCTTCCTGGTCACAAGCTTATCGCTAAAAATTATGTCATCTTAAGATGACAAGGGTAAAGTTCTGCTTTTTTTTTTTTTTATCCCTCAAAGCTTCTACTTATATTTTATTTTTAGTACATACTGATATAACTAATTATAGACAGTCATATGTAATTTTGGTGGTCTGTTGTCTGCCTTTTTGCTGTTGTTATTACAATGTCTCAACTGTTCCTCACCTGGCCTTTTATCAGGTGCCTGTTGATCCTGGTAACCTTTAAGGAAATTTGAACTAACCCCTTTGTATAATCTACCGGGGTAGATTGTTTTCATCCATGTCTAGGGATAAATTGTTCTTATTTAATACTGCTCAGTTATTGCTCACCCTGTTTCTGTTGTCTAAGGCTGTACTATCTGGCCCAGGAATTAAACTCACAATTACTATGTTACCAATTCCTAAACCAATGTTTTAATCTACTATGTTATTGTCCCATGGGACGACTACTGTAGGTTAAATAAAGGGTTCAGTTTGAAATTTCTTAAAGGTTACCCAGATTGACAAGCATCTGAAGAAGGCTGGAAGGCACAACAGCCGAAATGTTGTGATAACAACAAAGATGAAGATAATAGTGTAAATAAGGATAATTCCACATCCCAGTAATTCAGAATGAAATTTGGGTGGTATTGTACTTTGTGGGCTGTCATTTTCTAAACAACTTTATCATCAGGGGACATTTCTCTGGAACCATTAATATTGAATGTTTTTTATTTAAATTTTTCAAGGGAAAAATAAGTTTGAGTATAATAACTGTTTATTTCAAACCTGTGCCAAGATTGAGGGTTTGTGGGGACAAAAGATTTGGGACTAAATGCTCTCTTTGGGTAGTCAATGAGTTTGGGCAGCCTTTTTCGTCTCAAAGTGGGATGGCTAGTTTGGGTAGCTTTTTTCGTCCCAAAGTGGGATGAAAAAAGCTATGGCATATTTTTTATTTTCTATCATAATTTAATTTTCACTCTTATAATTTAATGTTAAAATTTTCTCTTTAGTAAAAAAAAAAAAAAGTATTGACTTCTTTCTTCCTGTTCATTTAAGTAATTGTGAAATTGAACTTTCATTTTCAGCTGATTATTTGTTTTTAATTATCGCAGTTTAAAATTAAAACATTCTCGTTAAACTTGCAGATATCAAAGATAAACATAACAATTGATGTAATACTAATGATGACAAAGAATATGTGTGTCATGGTTATTGAGATGAAAATAGAATTGGCAGAGTTCAAATTCTGGTTAAGGGTTTTGTTCTTTACGCACTAATGCTCTTGGGAAAGGCATGACTCCATATCATCTCCTCCATATGGGTAAAGTAGTAGGATAGTGAGCTCTCTAGTCTTGGTTGGGCAACTAGTCTAAGACCATTCTGAATGCAAAACTACAGAAGATAACAGGAAACCACTGTATTAGTTTTTTCCAAGAACAATTATGACAATTCACAGATATTAAAGGAAAATGTTTTGGAGAGACATGACTGCATACATTCTGTAGACATGAAAAAATACTGACAAATGTAAAATTTGAGTTAAATATTGTTTTAATTAATAATTGTTTTAAAACCATTTTCTTTTCAACCAAAAAAAGTAAATTTAAATTTGTTTTTAAAAAGCATCAAGTTGTTTGTAAAGCACTTGCTTATACCTCTAATTTGTATTTATTGATATTAAAGGTTAAAATTTAGTATTTTTATTGGCATTATTTATATTCTGTCAAAAAAATTCCTAGTATAAACAAATGACTGCTGAAGAGTTGTTAACCTGGCCCACCTCTCAAAATCTGTCGAAATATTTTTTTTTTAACTCTTTCAGCTTCTTGGCTTTCCAGTATAAAATTAAATGCAATATCCATCGTTATATTCTGTCTTTTTTAATTCCTATTCTTTTATTGTTTTTTTTTTTTTTTTTTTTTTTTTTCCTTAATAATGTTATTTTTCTTATATTCTTTCTCTCACTCAGTAACTTATTGCATCTTGGTGACTTGTAAACTTTGCTTGAGGTAGAATGATTAAAAAAAAATCTAACCTATACTAAATTTGTTATACCTGAGCCAGACACTAAGGTATTTTTTTTATCAATTCAACATTCTGAATTTTTGACATTTTCAGGGAAGATGCTATCATTACTGTCATTCCAGTTAAATATCATGATTTCTGTGTTAGGAACATTTATCTGAAGTCCTAATTGATGGAACTCTTTATATAGAATGTTGATATTGTCTACTTAGATAAGTCACATTTTTTTTATTTATTTATTTTGATCCAGCTTGTCATCAATGCTGTGCAAGTTGATAGTGGCTTTCTAATAGTGTGGGTGTGTTCTGTTGGATCTTGCAAGACCAACCGTGATCTGGCATCTGTCATGGAAGTTCAGGATGTTGAATTGATATATTATAAGCACTATTTAAAAAAAATGTCTGAATTATAACATTTAGGACTTCAATAGGAATAGATAGTTTTATCTAGCATCTGCTTCACACTCCTCCTCAGCCTTTTGAATAGGAGTAGAGGTTTACCCTTTTCTTTTAGAATTGCGTTACTGGTTCCTTCTAAAGTCTTTTTCTTTCACTCCAAGTAGCCCCTTGCATCTAAGTGACATTTGAGGTTAACTGATTTTAAAAAAAAGAAAAAAGCAAGGAGGACTTCATGATCTGGCAAAGAACTTTCTATCATCTCTCAATTTATAAATCTTAATTCAAAACTTGGTTTTTATATATTGCTCCCAAACCTATTTAATACATAATTGTACTTTTTTTTTTTTTTTTTTTTTTTCTTCTTCTTCAGTCAACCATTGCCATGGGCCTGTTATTGCAAACAATACAGCACAAACGAAACGTACACTTCTCTGGGCTAGTTTACTATGCTTTTTATTCATGATCTGTGAAATTGTAGGTAAGTACAACTTTTATTACTGTAATTTACCAAATGTTCTCTTTTAGTGAATAAGTTTGCTTTAAAATGATTTTTTTCTTTGTTCCTTAATGCTTTTGTTTTTTTTTTTTTTTTTTTCAAAGAATTGATATTTGTTCTCATTTTCTTGAATATACCTCAGAACTTGCATCTATGTACATTATCTTGGTCCCTTTTTACTGTAAGATTCTTTAGTTTACTGCATGATTATTTCCTATTATTTACTTGTTGCGAATATGAAATCCCAAATGGTATTTAGATAGGCAAAGTTTTCAGCTTTTGTGAAAACCTTTACAATTCTGACTAAATATTGAAAAACAAACCTCATGATGTCAACAGGTTTAACATTGGAGAACAAATAAAAGTAAAGGAAAAAATGTGAATGTCTAAATACTCAAAGGAGATGGAAAAATAATTGGACAGGTAAATAAAAGAATCTGAAGAATGCTCTCGTTAAATATCTTTTAGTTGTTAAGCTTACTTTTACCTTACCCTGTTAATTGGGCATATAATGTGCCAACTGTATCCACTAGAGAAAAGTAAAGCCTACCAAAAAGGCCACTTTCCAAGTAGATACCTGCATACTCGAGTATAAATACAATGTTTACATCTTTGAGTCTAGTATAAACCTGACCTATGTCTATGGACACTGGACAAGTTTTGGCTTCAGGCTTCTGGACATTTTGGTTCTAGAAATATGCTCAATTGATTTGTCCTAATTCAAAGTTAAGACTGTTGTTTGCTTTTTTTTTATTTATTTTTTCATTCTGATTTTTTTTTTGTTGTCCTATAAGATTAGATTTGGCATTAAATAACCCAGTAAAATTTTTCACATTAAACTAAACAACTTAACTGAAACTAACTTTTTGTATCCTAGCAGGAGTAGGTAAAGAATTCTGGTAACTCTACCATATATATATATATATGAGAGAGGAAAATTCTAGGAAGCCTGTGTTAAAATCCACCTTGCCTGATGTAATTGCATGTCATTTATTTTTAGTGAAAACACTCTGGGTTTTCAGCTAAAATAAGTTTTTCTTTTTTCTTTTTTCTTTATTTTTTTCTTTATGCAAAAGCAGCACCATTTCTAAGATTGGCACAATCAGTCCTTGGACATTTTCTGCTGTGGAAATATGTTCAATTGATTCTTCAGTATCTAGAGATTTTTTGCCAAATTTAACCCAATACAAGACTCGAGAGCCACTCTAGTTAGAGGGTTAGTAATGTTGAATGAGGTGTGATATGAATAGAACAAAATTTGGTAAGAAATGAAGATTCTAATCACTAAAAAATAAAAAAACATAGCCTTTTTGTACTTGATGTAATAACATTTGGTAGGATGTACACAACAAAGAAAGTTGAACTATGGTGGAACTGTGAAGCCAACTATTGACAGGAACAGTATTAGCACCATTTAGAGATTAAGCTAATAGCTAATTATAGTTTAGTTTATTTGCCTAGTTCTTTTAACTTCAAAATGAGACACAAATATTATTTTGTGTATGAACTCTTGAATTAAAAGATGTAGAATAAAGAACAGCTTTCTATATAAAATATTTTGTTACAGCTATTACCAAATGGGATAGTGTCTAAATTGTAGCTACCTGCAAACACTAACGAAAAAGCATGGGACACAAAACCTGTATAAAAGTTAATTTTATACTTATAATCTTTGTGTTGTTAGTAAGAAGAAAGATGGGAGAAAATTCTTATACAAAGATTATTTGTGTACATTTGATTGAACCAGAAATATTTGAGTTTGGGTAGGTGTTTTAATTGTATTAAAAAGCATGATTAAAGAGTTTGCAGGAAAAAAAATCTTTGGATGAAAAACACTCTGGTTTTAAAAATCCACCAAAACCTTGATGTTTGAATTCAATAACATTTTTATTAATTCATTTATACTTCTATTTATGAAAAGGGTATTTTCTCAGGAAAGTTTGGAAATAGTTTCATATCAATTTAAAATAAAATTAATTTTTCCTTTGACACTTTTGAAACCTTTTTATTAAATAAAACTGTTTTAGTAATTTAGAAATTGGAAAAATTTTAAATCTAATGCAAACTTTAAATAGAAAATAGTATTTTTTTTTCTTTTTACATAAAGAAAATATGTAATTATCCTGTACAGAGAATCATTGTTTGGTACTTTTTAGCATGCAAAATTCATTAAACAAAAGTGTTGTGTTTGTGTGTTGTTGTTTTGTTTTTTTTTTGTTTTTTTTTGGTCATCCATTCTTCACAAGACACTCCTAAATCTAATTATACTTTCATTAATTGTGGCATGATCTGTGTAATTTTGTATAACTAAAAAAAACTAAAGATACTGTAAAATTTGAAGTGTATTGGTTTTTTACTACTTGAAATAGAAATTTAAAAGAAAGTATTTCAATTATTAACATAGCTTTTTACAGATGTTTAAATTTATCAAGTTATCTACAAAAAGGGCTTGGCATCCAGTTAGCTCTCTCTCTCTCTCTAATATATATATAATTATTTTTTTACTTCTTTATTTTTTTGTGTGTGTGTGTAACAATTGAGGGACAGTGTGCAAAATAATGATAACCCACCTAGTGCCATGCTAACTTGGTCCTATTAATTCATCAAAGAGGGTTCGTATATATAATACACCATATATATATCTTCAAGAAATGCTCATTTTTAGAAGTTCTTGTAATAATTCATTACTCATCGAAAGTTTTTTTTTATTCACACTACTTCCTTCATTTATATTATAAGAGCAATTAAAAGCTTATACAATTAAATAATTAGATCGTTTTTATGTTATGATTCAAAGCATATCTTGTGGAATTTTATAATAGCTCAAAAAAAAATTAAAAAAATATCTGATATGTTGCTCTTAGGAGGATGAGAAATAAGTAGACTCTGAAATTAGATTGATTATATATATATATATATATATATATTATTGGAATTTCCACAGAAGAATTAAAACAGAATTTATACGCATAGGCACTCATTTACCAATCTTCAACTAAAATTCCAAACAGCCCTTTCAAAGAAATTTTGGGAATTGAAGGAAAAGGGTGTAAACCTGCAGATAGATTGGAAAATTATAGGTTTTGCACATACCCCTAATAGCTTTAGAGATAGATGCAGGCTATGTTTAGAGGAAAAAATTAGAATAATTAAATACAATTATCAATGCAAACTATTAAACAAAAGGAGAGAAGTAGTATTAAAATGTAGGCATAGAAACTGGTTCAAGCTTATATAAGAATATAGATCATACAATCACTCACTAATTACCAAAAAATAACAGACCGTCAATTGATATAATCCCCTCAATAAATTTTTACTTTAATATCTTCCCTTTAAATAATTTTGGGCACAGCTCAGTATTCCTAATATTATAACCAAACCTTAATGGTGGAAGGGATTGTGTGTGTGTGTGTGTGTGTGTGTGTGTGTGTGTGTGTGTGTGTGTGTGTGTGTGTGTGTGTATATATATATATATATATATATATGTGTGTGTGTGTGTACACACACACACACACAAAGGCTCACAAAAGAGAAATACTGGGGAAAGACATGAATCTGTCTCCAGATAGGTTAAATAGCAGAGTAAACTGGGTTCTCTAGCCTTGGGTGGCAGTCTAAGAGAAAGAAATCGGAGCTACTATAGTATATCTACCATGGCATTTGCAACCTACCATAAATGACAATGCATTCATTATTGCTGGAAAATGCTCAGGAAAAATGACCTATTTATTTATTTATTTATTTTTTGAATGACATCAAATCATTTTATAAACATTAAAATTACTAATTGTATAAAAAATTGTTAATTATTTTTAATACATAACCAGTTGACTGTTCCCTGCCTTTTAACCCTAACCTCTCCCTTAACCCTAAGATATTTCATACTTCAGCAGTTGGTAAATATCATGGCATAGTAGAAAATGGTTGGTAAATATCATACTATAGTAGCACCAAGAAAACTCTGAATTTCAAATTCCAGAGAAGGCAAAATGAAATCACTTCAATATCTTTCCCAAAGAATCCTGGCAGTTCACAGATAAAAGAATCTGTAGAGTCTTGATTGCTTATTTCCTGAAGGGATATGGCATTAAAAAAAAGACAAAAGCTAACAATAGTGAAAAGTGGCACAGTTTGTCACCAGTTTGTAGCAGGAGTAGTTGCAACTTGTTGCTGATGACAAAAACATTCAAAAAAAAAAACCAAATTCACCTTGTAGCAAAATTTTATTCATATATTTTTTAATAATATAATTAAATAACATATAGAAGAATTACAAGATATACAGGGTGCGATAGATAAATTGTCGTCTAATGAAAATAATACTGACATCTCATTTTAACAGATATATTTACCAAAATTGCACAAAAATATCTTGAAATACTAACAAGTAAATTAATTTATAAAATTGCCATTGGCTTCAACAAGAGCCTTTGGACAACTTCAAAATCTCCAGCAACTCTTCTGGACAACCTTAAACAAGTCAGTGAATGCTGCCATAATCCTTGCCTTCAGGTTCATCTTTGGTGTTATAAGGAGTTTTGTTGGTCTTCTGTTCAACTGCTCTCCACACATAATAATCAAGGGGGTTGCAAGTCTGGAGAGTTAGGTGGCCAGATGTAAGGGTTGATGTGGTTGCAGAAATTGTCTAACTGCTATTACTATGTTCTCCTGTTTGTGTGGTATGGTGCAGAGTCCTGTTGCCAGGGCAGCACTACCTCCTCAAGGCACTTGATATAAGCCTCTGTGTTGAGTCAAGAACTTGTGAGAAAAGAACTCCTGAATTTGTTGGTGAGGTGAAGCCCTCACCAACAAATTTGGGAGTTCTTTTCTTATCAGAACAATCAGATTGAGTTTTCGGAGATGCTGTACCTTTGTACCATTAAGCTCATCCGACTCTTTCCAAATCCTCTGTACTCCTCAGATTGACACCCCAAACACTCTCCAATGTTTGTATTGGAGCTTCCAGTGCAAATGCCAAG